GAATCCTTAACCTGAATATATAAATTATGTTTTGAACTACGAAACCACAGACTATAGAAGTGTTCTGTGTTTGAAATAAACAAATACAAAATTTAAAATACAAATATAAAAGATTAATAGGTTAATCGACCGTTTTGTTTTAAATGCAACGTGCTACGTGTCGCGGGTTCGATTCCCGCACGGAACAACACTTTGTGTGATCCACAAATTGTTGTTCAGGGTCTGGGTTTCATTGTGACTGTGAACTTGTATGTGTGGTGTAAACCAGCGTGGGGCAACGTTTTAATTAAAAAAAAAAATACTACAAAATTCCTGCAATCTTTATTGAATTACTAGCTTCTGCCCGCGACTTCCGTACGCGCAATCCAGTTTTTTCCCGTTCCCGCAGGACTATCAGGATTTTTTTCTGTCATAAGAACCTTCTCCTGACAATAACAAACACAACAAAAAAAAAATCAGCCAAATCGGTCTAGCCGTTCTCAAGTTATGGCGTGACAACGGGAAACGGGTTTCATTTTTATATATATAGACAAAGTATTCATAGAAGGATGCAACCAAACAGACAATCGACAACGTCCAGTTGACAATGAAAACAAGTATTTTCCATGTACTGTGTGCTGTTATCAGTTTTCATTCCACGCCGTTCCATCAAAAGGTGTCCAATTTTTAAAACCGAAAAGGGATTCGGCGAAAGTAAATGAAAAACTATTACATAGTGAAACATGAGGATTCTTCGATTTCAAAACTGTACGTTCGAATTTTTTGGTGTACATAGGTACGATAACGAAACAGACTGCCACGTACGAACGTAAAAAGATTCAACGTTAAAAATCAACATTCGTCTGATTCCAGAGAAGAAAAAAATACGTGATCTCGCCGTTCCTAGGTTTCCCTAACTTTTCCAATTTTTAATGTAAGGACACGTAAGGGCCTGAACTCTCTCCGCTCCGACAAACGATACACAAATTAAAATGCTTAGACTTTAAGATATTGTAAAGATATAACGCACATAATATTTATGACATGAACACGACTAAGTACAACAGAGAATAAGTATAATTATATTGCAAGAAAAACCGAATTCCGATTGAAATATTACGGAAAACGTCGTTTGAATGTAACGAGACTTAGTAAAGAAAAACGTCGTGAACAAAACTGAAGTTTTCAAAAGTACATATACATACCAGTTATATACATATATATCTGACTAATCTAATATTGCTACCTACAAACAATAAGGTGTTCGTACCTAAGTGTGACTACGGATAGTTTCAGGGACATGTGTTAACTTTTTTGTTATCTCTATTTATCATCAGAGTAAACAATAAAATCATTTTCGAGGAATCGAAATAATCCTTATTTGTTCATTGTAGGCTATTAATAACTATGTACAAATATTTATTTATCTTTTTAATTTACTTCCTTTGTGTGAAATTTAATGAATATTAATATTACGTCATGAGTTCAGGGTTGTGACTGCCTGTTCACTGTATGTAAACGATTCCTGATAGAAGCTCAGCAAATTATAATAAGTAAATGTTTATTTATAGAATCGTAAATGAACTACCTTTTAGGTAGTATTAGATATTAAAACCCATTTATGATGTAGGTGCTTCTTCCTTCTTTCTTTAAAAAGACACTTAGTTTTTGGGAAGGAAGACTATAGAAAGTGTGAAATTCAAACTTATAATTAATTCAAAGTTCTGTTTTCTTCACGATGTTTTAGTTTACCGTTTGTCTGAATAAACTTAGAAGTAAGTACATGTACATTCGAAAAATTAGAATTGCTATTTTGCCAGTTGGTTTCGACCTTGTCCATATTTATATTCAAAATAAAAAACGTTGCCCCACACTATGACTTTCTCCTTTGTCGAGGCTAGTTTACAAATATACAATTTCACATACACATGCACCCAGACCCGAAACAACAGTTTGTTGCAACACAAAGAGTTGTTTCGGCGGGAATCAAAGTGCGCAGTCAGCTCTTGTCTCACTGGTTTGAAGTTTGGAATCGGGTCTGGTCAATAGGCTCACCTTTGATTACACGGGAATTGGGACTCACAATTTAACGTCATAACACAACTAATGTATCTGCTAACCCATTTATTATGATATTAATAACCCCGGTCTCGTTCCCTTCTATTTAATTGTTATTCAGGAATGTCCCGCCAGCAATAATTGTGATTGATCTATTTGATTGGCATTCAATTCTACCTGATCAATTTAGTATCCACAATTGGAATATAGTCATATACTACCTCGTTGGCCGAGTGGTCGCAAGTACGACTGCCGGCAAGGGGTCTCGGTTGCGATTCCCGGGTCGAGCAAAGTACATAAATCTCAGTAGTAGCAAGAAGTCTGGAATTGTGCCCGGTATATGGCATTAGGGTCACCCCCTATTACATAGGACAACATAAATAGTGAAAAGTGGGTTTTACATTGTACAGTGGCATTAAGTGCCGTAGTGTGCACTTCTGCCTATCGCTTCGAGGATAAAGGGCGTGATGTGGTGTTGTAATTGGTATATCATCTTAATTTGTTGGTCCTTCGATCACACCATTCCAACACTATGAATGCTACACGGACAGTAACTAAGTGTATGTTTTAAGTTTCAATACATATTTGACATGGTTTCGAGTGGGTGCGTGTCATATGCAATGCAAGTTACCGTATGGTATTGCAGGTACTCCAACCCGCTTGCGGCAACTATGGTATACCTTCAAGTATTCTGGAGGCCAATAGACCAGTCAATTCATCAATGGACAATCATGGACAGCTGATGATTATCATAGGCCCTTGATACAATATAAGTCTGCATAGCTTGTGAGTGGAAACCTTTACAGTCTATATACCTTGCTCGACAATCGTACTACAACCACACTACTCGTATTTAAACAGGTGATCTTTAAAGGATGCTTCAAAGAAATTATCTTCATTTCGAATTATGAACCACAAATTAATTAATGATTTTAGGAATCCTATTTGAGTGAATAGGATTCCTAAAATCGAACGAAAACGAATATGATTCCTGAGAGTTCAGGAATTATATTCGTTTCTACCATCACCACCCACGTCGCCAATGGAGAAAAAATTTTTTTTTTCTCCGTTCTAAACTACGAAATGAAAAACAAAAACTTACCCTTCTTCGTAGTCTGCATTTGGAAATTTATATTTTATCTCTGTATCGTTTTTCAACCAGATCACCTTTGCTCCTGGACCATCGAGAACGATCTTGCTGTTGCTGCACGGGATCCTCGCCTCTCGGTTGCGCATAGCTCTCAGCTCAATAACTTGCATACCTAAGAATAAATAAGATTAAAATTAATAATTTATAAGCTACATTTAAAAAGCCGACTTCAACCCCGTCTTTTTTGAAGTCGGTTAATTAATACTATACTAAAAACCTTCTTCTAAGAGCAGGTCCGTCTTAGACTACGCAGGGCCCCGGCCCTTGGGTACACAATATCTTGGAGCTCTTGTAGAACGTTTCTTTTTTAGTGTGCACATATGTTGACATACACATGACACCCGGACCCGGACCAACAGTTTGTGGATTACACAAGGTATGTTCCGTGCGGGAATCGGACCCGGCACACGTTGCGGGGCAGCCGGTTGCCGATAACGTGTAGAGGGTGTATGTCCGTTGTAGAAATTTTCGGACCTTCGGGGCTCCCTAAGGATGGGGGTCCTAGGTTACGGGCCCCAAGTGCTAAATGTAACAAACGCTTTTCTGAACACCGCATCAAAATCGGTTCAGTCAATCGCGAGTAATCGCGCACAAACATACATAGATACGTACACACAGGGTCAAACAGGGAACCTCATGTTTTTGAAGTCGGTTACAAATATGTCATGATGGCTTAGGGTTAACGTACTAGGCACAGGGTAGGTACTTCTCTACAGGTTTTAGGGTTCCGTAGACAATAGGGAAATGGAGGAATGTTCATAGTTCTAAAGTAAAAACTGATACTAGAAAGTTATCATTTGGTATGAGTAGGTACCATAAATAATAATATATTACCGACAAAGATAAAAATACAATCTTGAAAATAATATTTTAACATGGTATTTCAACTGAGACCCGTCGACTGCCGTGTTCGCAGTATCGAGATACAAATACATAACTTAGAACTTAAGACAATAATTATTAATTGAGAACAGAATTAAATCTATCTTATTCCCCGTATCGGAAGGAATAAGACTTTATTAACAACGGTGAATTCTTGAAATGTCCAATTAAAATCTAATTGGAACAAGATGGAACCAGCGCGATAGATAGCGTTGAACGTAACATTTATTTATTCATCGTATCTCAGTGACTTGGGATCTAATCTCCATAACTAATAATAACGTAGTATATTTTTAATCTTTCCCTTCGTTGAACTTAATAATTAGAATTGCGATTTCCGATCATAAGGCACAAGCCATTCATAAGGCACTTCCTTCATACTTCCGATCATAAGGCACTGGGTTTGAGCACTAGCCATAATAATGCCTGATCGTATCATCAATAGCCTATAAGAGGCCATAGCTCATTCCTCGATGCAGGTAAATAGGTTCAGACTGCTGGTTTTGTACTTGAACGGCCATAGTCGCAGCATCGTACAGTTTTTGAGCACTTTGATATATCGTCAGTCGACTTGACACTGTTTCAAGGACTCCAGAACATACCAAATCTCGATAGACACAAAGGCCTTCTCATAGTCCACGAACGCCAAGCATATAGGCCGATTATACTCATTGGTATTCTGTATAATCTGCCTCATCGTGTGAATGTGGTGGATATCCTATCCTATTCTATAGTGCCATATCCTCGGAACCCGGCCTGCTCGGGGGATTGAAACTCATCAAGCCTTCGTGCGAGACGATAAGTGATGATGAGGTCTTACCTGTGCTCGCGGGCGTACCCCATCTTGAGGTGCAGCGACGTGCTGTTATGTACTACAATGCGAGACCTAATTTGAAAAAAAAAGCTTTCTAGCACAACGTGATCGAAATAAAATTGCTATATTGTTTAAGCCATTAACGGACGTTTGGGCTGAGCTTATAACTGAATGGCAGTGTAGATGGGAATCTTCTATTAAAGACCGCCACCTATGTCAGTTCTTCCCATCCGTGCATGAGCGGCTGGAGAGGACGTACTTGGAGGTGAATCACTGTGTTGCCCAATTTCTAACTAGCCACGGCCACTTTAAAAGCAAATTGTTTTCATTTAAACTTGTTGATTCTCCATGGTGCCAATGTCCGACAGCGGAGTTGCAATTATTTATGTCCCTGGGACGCACCGGACTTCAGTGTTCCGGTATTTTCATGGTTGTATCCACTGCAGATCCTGGTTTACAGGAGTTGCGGCGGTTTTGGAGGTTGTGGCGGGCTTGTCCCAATAAAAAAAAATACTTTGGAGCCGCGAGAATCGGTTTTCCCCCTGCCTTAAGGAGCTCCGTCGTAATTCCACCCTCACCGGGGGCTTTTCCATTTTAAAGCTGCCCCAAAGCCACCACGATCTCGTCTTGGCTGACCTGTGGCAGCTCTTCAGTGAAGTGGCGGACAAGTGTGGCCCTGGAATCCCCCGAGTAGGATTGTGGTTCGGGTGCTTGTGACGCATATAGATCACCGTAGAAACGCTGAACGCGCGAATCTCCGGCCCGAAAGCTACGACTATTCCCTCAGATGTAGTCAGCTTCGTCAGATGGCTTCGACCTAGTTGCTGGATGAAGACTTTTGACCCCCGATTTCGCTCGATCGCTCCTTTTAAAGCGCGTGTGTTGGAGCATCGAAGGTCACATCTTATCTACTTCGAGATCTTTTTATTAAGATCCGAAGCGACTGCTGGGTTTTCACGTCGCCTATTCATCAGCTGCAGAGACTTCCCCGAAAGCCTCGCCCTCCTGCCGGTATTTTGCGCCTGCCACATTTTCGTCCCCTCATCCCGGAGTATCCCGACCATTTGGTCTAGTTTTTCGTTAATATCAGCGTCTCTTGTGGTGTCCAAGACAGCGAATTGATTTTCCAGCTTTATCTGGAAGCTTTCGGACCCGACAACAGTTTGGAGCAAGTTAGGTCGGAGCGTAGACGTCATAAGACGGGTACGCTCGAATTTATGTTTGATGTTTAGATCGCCTCGTACCAATCGGTGATCACTTCGCTTTTTGTCCGTCATAATAAAGTCTATCTTTTTTTTTAGTCATAGTGTCGGGGCTCCACCACGTCCACTTCCGTTAAGGCGTTTGTCAGTGATGTCTGAATAATTTTAGAAAGTACTTATAACTCGGGAAAAGGCACATTGGTACTTGCTATTAGTGGGTTTCGAACCCACACCCTCACCCGTCTGCCTTGGGCCACGATACGGTCACAATATTAATTTTATGTTAGTATTATGTATATGGTGACCACATAAGAAAATAGATCATCATCATCATTATCATCATCAGCCTGTGAGAGTCCACTGCTAGCGCACTACCAGTCTCTTCTACATGAGAATGTTTGCCTTTTCCAAGCTAGACTAGCGTGTTGGAGATCACAATCGAAAAGGATTACGGTGACACACTTAAAAGGCACGGTTCCGGCAACCTTTTCGTATTGTTTCCAAAGTTTAAAACGGCGTCATCGCACACCTAATAAGCGTTTACAGTTTTTTATATTGAGGTTTTTTTTTCTTAAAACGTTTCCCTCACACTGAGATTTTCTCCTGTGTCGTGGGTGCGTTTACAAACATACAAGTTCACATATACAATGACACCCAAACCCGAAACAACAATTTGTGGATTTGTTATGAAACATATCATACGTCATACGATTTAAAGTTTATATTTAAACATTTATGACAAGTTAATTGTTGGGTTGGTGCCGTGCCGCCATGATATTTAATCGATATGCGATACCCGCGGATAGAATAAGGATGGTACCCAATGTATTTCACTTGCCGTACCGCTAACATTAACTTTTTTGGTAGCATAGTCCTACTCCCACAGATCGCCATCGGAAGATGTCACGTAAAGTTGTACATCGTGCAAGCTAAGTTTGCACGTGAATTAGAACCGTTGACAAACAAGAGTGTTAGGCAGTAGTCCGCCACGCGGGATCTGTAAATATGAGCAGAGAATCCTCCGATTTCATGAATTAACGAATATTGCGCTGTTACCTAAAATCCTAAAATAAGTTACTTTAATTTAAGTATATAATACAGATGATTCAAGTGACCATTACTACATTGACAAGTATCTAAGATATCAACATCAACTGTAGTGTATAATGTGACTATAATTTTATTTTTATTGTATTATTTTTGTTAGTCTGTAAGTAGTATTAATTATTAGTTTAAGTTTTCACTGTCTTCTTCTTGTTTGTTTGTTTTTTTTTGTTGTTACACACTGTGTCATATTTTGAAGCAGGAAGAAATCCCATAAGGGATATGCAGTACCTATGTACCTCTGTTTTGTTTTATATTTTTTTTTCTACTGTATATTGTCTATGTGGTGTACATAAATAAATTAATAAATAAATAATCGGCATTTCAAATGGTATGTAGATGATTAATTTGTACCTGTAATTTATCACAAACTAATAAACACAGTGTATACGAAAAACCTAGTCGAGAGAATAGGTAGTAATCTAGAACTGGGTTGTAATACACACAGGAACTTGCGTAAAAGTTAAAGTTGCATGTGTACTCAGCCCTTTGACTTAGCAGACATTACGGTAACTGTTTTAATATACCAACTTCTACGCATCCTCACAAATATTAATAAAGCTGAGGTACACGCAATTTATAGAAACAACTGAATAACAAACGTGGTACTCCGACGTCAAAGGCTGTCATCGTTATGCAAACGTTTTGATCATGGATTCGATGAGCTTCGGTGTTTTTACCGACTTCAAAAAAAAGGAGGAGGTACTATGTTCGGCTGATAGTTTGTTGTTATTTGTTTGTTCGCCGATTACTCCGCCCTTTGTGAAACGATTTCCAAAATTCTTATTTTGTTTGAAAGTGTATACTCCCGAGACGGTCCCATTTCATGAGGTCAGGATCTGATGATGGGATCTTAGAGAAACCGAGGGGAACTGTCGATAATTTAAGGGGCGAGTAATGCGTGTATCATGTTTTTCAATTACAATTTTTAAATACTACAATTTGATAAGGGTTTGGAGTCGCCCTGATGATGGAGCCGACAGACAGTCGAGAGAACTCCTCAGCGGTTTATATTAAGTACCTTGTTTTTGGGCTTCATTAATTCTTTTTTGATGAGGAATTCTTCATTGATTAGGAATTTACACCTAGATAGAGTGGAACTGTCATTAA